GATTTACTTCAGGTCCCGCGCGGTGCCTCACTTCCGCGGACCCACCCGCAGAACCCTCGAAAGTGGGACAGTTTCGCAGATCGACCTCGAAGGGACGACAGGTTTTGCAGATCGAAGCCCCCCATGGACGGCGAGTCTACTTCAGGTCCGCGCGGTGACTCACTTTCCGTGGACCCACCAACGGCCCCGAAAGAGGCGAGAGTTTCGCAGATCGCAGCCCCCCAGGGACGGCGAGGTCTACCTCAGGTCTGCGCGGTGCTTCGCATCGCTGAACCCACCAGCAACCCTCGAAAGTGACGACATGTTCGCAGATCGCAACCCCCGAGGGTCGGCGAGGTCTACCTCAGGTCTGCGCGGTGCCTCGCTCCGCTGGACCCACCATCAGCCCTCGAAAGTGGCGACAGTTTCGCAGATCGCAGCCCCCCAGGGACGGCGAGGTCTACCTCAGGTCCGCGCAGTGCCTTACTCCGCTGGACCCACCAGCAGCCCTCGAAAGTGGCGACAGTGTCGCAGATCGCAGCCCCCAAGGGACGGCGAGGGTCTACCTCAGGTCGCGCGCATTGCTTACTCCGCTGGACCCACCAGCATCCCTCGAAAGTGCGACAGGTTCACAGTTTCGCAGAATCGCAGCCCCCCAGGGACCGGCGAGGTCTACCTCAGTCTACGCGGTGCCCCAACTCCGCTGGACCCACATTGCGAGGTCTCCTCAGGTCGCGCGGTCCTCGCTCCGCTGGACCCATCAGCATGCCTTCGAAGTGCGACAGTGTTGCAAATCGCAGCCCCCCAGGGACGGCGAGGGTTTACTCAGGTCCGCGCGGTGCCTCACTCCGCTGGACCCACCCGCAGCCCTCGAAAGTGGCGACAGTTTCGCAGATCGACCTCGAACGGGACGACAGTTTTGCAGATCGAAGCCCCCCACGGACGGCGAGGTCTACTTCAGGTCCGCGCGGTGCCTCACTCCGCTGGACCCACCAACGGCCCTCGAAAGAGGCGAGAGTTTCGCAGATCGCAGCCCCCCATGGGCGGCGAGGTCTACCTCAGGCGGACTGGCCTGCGCGGTGCCTTACTCCGCTGGACCCGCCAGCAGCCCTCGAAAGAGGCGAGAGTTTCGCAGATCGCAGCCCCCCAGGGACGGCGAGGTCTACCTCAGGTCTACGCGGTGCCTCACTCCGCTGGACCCACCAGTGCGAGGTCTACCTCAGGTCTGCGCGGTGCCTCGCTCCGCTGGACCCATCAGCAGCCTTCGAAAGTGGCGACAGTTTCGCAGATCGCAGCCCCCCAGGGACGGCGAGGGTTTACTCAGGTCCGCGCGGTGCCTCACTCCGCTGGACCCACCCGCAGCCCTCGAAAGTGGCGACAGTTTTGCAGATCGACCTCGAAAGGGACGACAGTTTTGCAGATCGAAGCCCCCCATGGACGGCGAGGTCTACTTCAGGTCCGCGCGGTGCCTCACTCCGCTGGACCCACCAACGGCCCTCGAAAGAGGCGAGAGTTTCGCAGATCGCAGCCCCCCATGGGCGGCGAGGTCTACCTCAGGCCTGCGCGGTGACCCACTCCGCTGGACCCACCAGCAGACTTCGAAAGTGGCGACAGTTTCGCAGATCGCAGCCCCAGGGACAGCGAGGTCTACCTCAGGTCTGCGCGGTGCTTCGCATCGCTGAACCCACCAGCAACCCTCGAAAGTGACGACAGTTTCGCAGATCGCAGCCCCCCAGGGACGGCGAGGTCTACCTCAGGTCTGCGCGGTGCCTCGCTCCGCTGGACCCACCATCAGCCCTCGAAAGTGGCGACAGTTTCGCAGATCGCAGCCCCCCAGGGACGGCGAGGTCTACCTCAGGCCTGCGCGGTGCCTCACTCCGCTGGACCCGCCAGCAGCCCTCGAAAGAGGCGAGAGTTTCGCAGATCGCAGCCCCCCAGCGACGGCGAAGAGAGGGCAGGAGGAGGGAGGAGGCGTGAGGGAGGGAGGACGCGCGAGCGGTGAGCAGTGCTCCATTCAAAACGAAGACCCAACCAAGGAGGGCTGGGAAAAACGCATGTCTGCATCGATGTGGTGTGTCGCAGATCTCCCGTGGCGGATCCGGGCCTCTCGCGGTGGCTGTTGTCTGCGAGAAGCGGGGCACGCTGCTCTAGAGAGGAGGCCAGAGCGGGGAGGGGGGGGGGGGGGGGCGGCGCGCCTGCGGCTTCGGGGCCTCGAGGAGGAGGGGGAGGGAGGGACCGAGGGAGGAGGGCGGGTTGGACGGAGGGAGGGGGGGAGGGAGGACTGAGGGACCCGAGGGGCTGAGGAGGGAGGGAGGGGGGCAGGGCGGCAAAGGAGGGGGGAGAAGGAGGGAGGGAGAAGGCGGGAGGGAGAAGGAGAAGGAGAAGGAGAAGGCGGGAGGGAGGGAAGGAGAAGGAGGAGGGCGGGATTCCCCTCGAGATGCTGCCCAGACCGGGCCCTTCTGGGCAGGTCCGGGCAGCGGCCGGCGGCGGGGGCCGCGCAGTCGTCGTCGGGGTCGGGGTCGGGGTCGGGGTCGGGCGGGGGAGGGGAGGGGAAGGCAGGGGAGGGGAGGGGAGGGAGGGAAGAGGAAGAGGAGGAGAAGGATGAGGGGAGGGGAGGGGTCGGGGTCGGAGTCGGGGTTGGCGGCGGAGAAGCTTAGTGGAGGGGAGGGGAGGGGAGGGGAGGAGATGGAAGGGGTCGGGGTCGGGGTGGGCGGCAGAGGAGTGGAGGGGAGGGGAGGGAAGGGGATGAGAGGAGAGGAGAGGGGGAGGGCTGGGCTGGGGGGTGGCTTATTGGTCGTCATTCGCATCTTCAGGCGCGGATGTTTTTAGTGGGCCTGACCTGACTGGGCAGGAGGAAACCTCCCGCGACGGAGCATCCCCACACCGACCAGTGTGTTTTCAGGCGGGCACGTCCATGGCCACCTCTGATGCTTGGAAAGCTTGCGATGGAGGGGACTGCCACCGTCAGGAGGGGGATGGGCCGGCGGAGGGTCCGCATCTCATCTGCCGGGGGCTTCGTCCTGTCCCCCAGCCCCCCGCAGTCAGAACAGCGTGCGCGAAACACGACTGCAGACAGGCAGACAGGGAGGGGGAACGAGGACCTTCCCTTGGGAATCTGAGGGAGCTTCCAGCCCAGCCCAGCCTGGCCGACGTCGCATTCCGCTGTCGCAGCGTCCCTGCTGGAGAAGAGGCCCTGCGGAGGGAGCGCGCCGCTGGAGGGAGGGACGGAGGGATGGGAGACGTCGCCGCATCCGTCGTCCAGGACATCCCCAGCCTCGTCTCATCGAGTGGCGAGACAAAAGGCGAGGGCGAGGAAATGGAAGCCGAATCCTGACTCCTGGTAACGGCACGTTACAAGCTCGCACTACTCCCACGCACGAAATCTCCGGCTCAAGACATAGGAGGAGGAGGAGGAGGAGGAGGAGGAGGAGGAGTTGGACCGCGCCCGCGCCGCGTGGCGCGCGATGCTGGGCGTGCCCGGATGCCCAAAGGCACGAAGAGCGGAACCATGGAGGCGGGCATCGAGGTCGGAGGGTCGGGTTGATTGATAGCTGTTGCGCAAGCCTGTGCCCAGGCACACGCGCACGCACTTCAGGTTCTGAGCGTGCTCCGCCGCTTCTGGACAAGAGAAATCGGCATAAACATAAACTTGTGCCGCTCCGCGTGGATTTCTTGGATCCGCGCTGGCCCCCCCCCCCTGGCTGCGCCTCCACCGTCGCCCTTGGAACGCTCCGCGCGCCACGCAGGGGGTCCAGCGCAGATCTAAGAAATCCGCGCGGAGCGCCAAACAGTTATGTTTATGCAGTTGTTGGTCTTCTACGCCTGCCCCCCCCTCCCCGCGCCCACGCCTTCCCCGTCCTGCTGTGCCTCATTCGGCCCCGTATGGTCCCTCGGCTGCCCTCGACCGCAGCGTGGATCGGCGCTTCCGCGGCCCCAAAAACACAGTATTTGTTTGATTCGGGCCTCGGGAGGCCTGGGGAGGGTGGCTCACGCCGTGAGAAGATCGCAGCGTGGAAATCGTTTGTGTCCAGGTCGGATTTTTTTGTTGTTTTCCGTGTTTGGGTGCAGGCTCCCGCAGGAGCTTGCAGGATCCTTTTGCGTCGACCCGGGCTTGGGTGCAGGATCTTGCAGGATCTTGCAGGATCCTGCGATGCCCGACTGACCCGGGTCTGGATGGACCCGGGTTGGAAGATCCCCGAGGGAGCGCCAGATGGAAAAAATCACACCCTCGCGGATCTCCTGTGGAGGAGGAGGAGGAGGAGGAGGAGGAGGAAGGAGGAGAGGGGAGAGGAGGGAGGAGGAGGAGGAGGGAGGAGGGGGCGCGACTCCTGTGGGAGGCCCTTGGGCCTCCGGGGGCCGTGGCGGAGCCGCTGGTGGCCCCCGCCTGCCTCGCGCTCTACGCCCCGAGCTCCGGCCTGCTCGGCGCCCGTGCCGAGGCGCTGGCCACCGTCCTGCTCGCGGCCCTGGCCCTGTCGCGGCCCCGCGACTTCCTCCGATGGGCTTTTGTTTCCCACCGCCGCCACCACCAGAAGCTGGAGGGGGGAAGGAGGAGGAAGACGAGCAGGAGGACGGAGAGGGGGAGGAGGAGGTGGAGGAGGAGGAGGAGGAGGAGGAGGAGGAGGACCCCCTCCCCCTGCAAGCCCATCTTCATCCCCGCGTACTGCGCCGTAGGTCCGCTGCTCCGCCGCTGGCCCCAGGCGGCGCGCTCCTGGAGGGGCATCGACGGGCTGGCATCTCCCCTTCTCCGCCTCCTCCTCCTCCTCCTCCTCCTCCTCCTCCTCGTCCTTCTCCGCCTCCTCCTCCTCCTCCGCCTCCTCCCCCTCCCCCTCCCCCTCCTCCTCCTCCTCCTCCTCGTCGTCCTCCTCCTCAGACACCCTCGTGGAGTCATGAAGAAATGGCGACCAGGGTCTTTCGTCCTTGTCGGCCTCTTGGGGCCCTCACCGGCCCTCGGGACCGTCAAGGAACGGCCCAGGGCGAAAAACCGGTCCCGGGGAAGGGGTCCAGACCGCCGGGGGTCGACGTCAGGAAGAGTCCATGACGTCGGGGGGTCCGGGAAGATGGCGACGCGGGCCGTCCCGCCGGAAGCCCCGGCGGGGTTCCTCCCAGGCCGGCGGATGTAATCCAAGTCGCCTTTCAGGAGATGTAGTTGTCGGGGGGCGTTCAGGGTTTCTGGGGCCCGTCAGGCGGCGCCTGCGGCGGTCCTGGGCGCGATCCCCAAGACGGCTGGGCTAAGGGTCGGCGCCACCCCACCATCTTTCCTTTATATATGTGCGTCGGCCACCCCTCCCCATGGACGACGCGCGCACCGAGAAGTCTTACAGTATCTGCTTCGTGGCGGGCGCTTTCTGGCCACACCGCTCTGGAAACGATGCGCTACAAGACGGACATGCTATATGTTGCGGTCGGACTCGCGCCTCCAAAGAGAAAGAGAGGTCAAATTCTGTTTTCGCCCTGGTCCGAAATCCGGTTTAATCCCGCTTACATCCCGCTTAATCCCGCTTAACCCCGCTGAATCCGAGGCCCACTCTTGCGCAACGGCCCCCCGATGGGGCCGAATCCTCCTTAATCTTTCCGACGAACACCTCCCAGTAGTTGCCTCCTGATGTCTTTGTGCGTCCCGAGGGGGCCTTCTGAGATCTTGGCGTCGCCTTTGTTGTTCCACGCCGCCTGGGTTCGCCCCACTTCGGGCCTCTGGTGCGGGGGGGCCCTCACGGCTCGAGCCGTCGAACGAGGAGGTCGAAGATCGCGCTTGCGATTTCTCACGTGTCGTGCTGCTTTTTCTCCGCAGCGTTCGGATGCAATTTCTGGGAGGTTAGAGTCTGTTCACGCACAGGTAGGGTTACTGTGCAACCCTTCTTTTGCGCCCGGGTCGATCTTGGCGGAGCGAGCTCAGTCTCATGCGACTTTCTCTGTGCGGGGAAAACCGATTCTGGAAGGGCCACTGCAGACTCGGCGCTGGTACAGCCCCGGTCGAAGGCTGACCTGGAATCCCGCTGAATCCAGCTCCATTCCGCTTCCTCTGCCTGCTTCCCGCTCGGTGCCGCTCGATTTGGCTCGGCCCCGGGACCACTCGGGCTCCGGGGCCCTCTCATCGGGCCCCCAGCAGCCCTCCCGTGTTCTCTCCGACGGAGGCCTCTCGGGGCCGTGCACGGACTCGGACGGCGCCCGCAGGCCGCCTCCTCGGGGAGGCCAGGGCGGTCTGCAGCGCCGCTGCGCCGCAGGACCCCCCCGTGGCTGGGCCTGGCTCGCTCTCTCGTCGCAACGCCGTTTTTCGCGCCTCCCGCGGCGGCCTGCCCAGTTCGACCCGCGGCGGCCTCCCCGCAGACGTGCGCGGGCCTGGAAGCGCGGGCGCTGCAGGTGTTCCGCGCTGGACGTGTTCTCCCGGTCTCCCGAGCATTTTCTTTGGCTGGAGGGCAAGGGGTGAAATCTGAAATGCCGTGTCGATGGATTTCCGAGGTTTGAATTTTTGCAAGAGGCGAGTCACAAGACGGTTGGATCTCCGAGGTGCACAAGCCCATGTGGATTTCACCTTGAGCTCTCCGTCCTGGGGAGGAAAATGCTCAGGGTCTCGGGCACCGGGGCCGCCACGGATCGATCGGGCTCGGACAATCCAGCGTAATGATATGGGGTGAGCACGGGGCTCCGGCCGCGGCTTGTCGCGAGGCTGCACTGTTTGGTGTCGCCCCCTCGGACCTGAGGGGACGGCGGCTTGTGGAGGCCGGCATGGGCCAAGCGGGGGTCAAGCAGTGGCGAAGCGTCCCGGCTCGCCTATAGCCCCACCAAACAATGCTCTAAGATCTTTCTGTGGTTCCCACGAAATGTTCTTAGAACATTTCTGGCGGAGTCTGTCTTGTTTCAACACATCGGGTTGATGTTCTAAGAACACTGTTTTTGTTATTAGAACATGTTTGGGGTTCTAAGAACATTTCGTGGGATGACTAGAGGAATGACGGGACGGTCGGTCCCTGCTCAAGGGGGGGGGGTTGTCGGTGTGCGTCGCCCCCGAGCCCTGCCGCCTCCGGATACTCATATCCCCGGGCCCCTGCGGCGCGGGCGGCAGCAAGCTGACCAAGGCGGCCCTCATCTCGGGGGTTGCTGAAGGTGTCCCCGGCCGAAGGTGTCCCCATTTTCTCGCTCGATTCTGGCGCCCGGGGTGACCTCTGGGCCCCGTTGGAGGCCGCGGGGGCCTCCTCGTGACTCCTGAGAGCACCCTGTCGGGGCCAGGGACATGTCCACTGAACGGTGCCACGTTTGTCTGCCACTACTTGGTGGCAGGTGGCGGCCCAATCGCAGTGTAGACATGTCTGCGTAGCACCCCCAACTTGCGGATACGGGTGAGGGGGCGGAGGCGAAGGCGAAGCCAGACGCCCCCCCCAAAGAGACCCCCAGAGGTGGCCGCAGAACGAGGTCCTCATACCTGTCGGGTCGGGCGAAAGGGGGGGATTGGGAAAGGGGGGGTTACGAAATTTGCTGCATGCAGCTGGTTTCGGCCTCACCGAGGGGCCCATTCCTCGATACATGGCCGCCTCCGGCGCCGGGAGGCGCCGGGAAAATCAGCTACGTGAGCTGATTCTCAAACCCCCCCTTTGCTATCCCCCCCTTTCGCCCGACCCGAACCTGGCCCCCGAAGGTGGTCCCCCAGGCGTGCCCCCCAAGACGTGGCTCCCAAACGGGGCCCCCATACGTTGCCCCCCCAACGTGGCCCCCCGACGCCGATCCAGCCACGCGCGCGCAGGGAGAATGTGAGACCGTTCTGTCCCTTCACTCCCTGGCGTACCTGTATATATATATATATGTATGTATGTGATAGATGTGCATGTGTATGTGTGCATGTATACGTTGAGTCAGTAATTCATATGTGGATGTATGCATGTATGGGTGTATGGATGCATGCATGCATGTATGCGTGTGCGTATGCGTGCAAACGTGCGTGCATGTGTGTATGAATGGATTCACGTACGCACGTGCGCATATGTAAACATATGTGTGCATGGATGTATGTATGCATGTATGTATTTACATATGCATGTGTGGCCTACGCACGTACGTATGTATGTGTGTGCATGTCTGCCTGTCGGTGTGTCTTTATGGTTGTCTGTAAGTATGTCTACATGGCTGTATGTATATATAGGTGTGTCGTTGTATAGTTGTATGTATCGGTATGTGTGCATGTGTCTGTAATATATATATATATAGGTATGTACATGTAGACGCATGCTTACATGCGTACATGTATGTATGTATGTATATATGTGTATGTATGTATGTATGCATGCATGCATGCATGCATGCATGCATGCATGCATGCATGCATGCATGCATGCATGTATGTATGTATGTATGTATGTATGTATGTATGTATGTATGTATGTATGTATGTATGTATGTATGTATGTATGTATGCGTGTATGTATGTATGCATGGATGTATGCATGGATGGATGCATGCATGTGTGTGTGTGTACATTTATGTATGTATGTAGATATGAATGTATGCATGCATGCATGCATGCATGCATGCATGTATTTATGTGTGTATATGTATGTGTGTACATGTATGCGTGGATGCATAATTGCATGCATGCATGCGTGTATGGACGCATGTGTATATCTAGGTGGGTATGACTGCGTCTATGCATGCATGCATGCATGTGTGCATGCATGTATGTATGTATGCATGTAGGTACGCATGTGTGTAGTCATGCATGCATGTGTGTATGTGGTTTCACACTGTTGCCCGCAGATCTGGACATAATACTTCACTATACGTTATCCTGGGGCGTTTCTGCGAAGCCTCATGTGGTGGTGCCCAGATACCTTAGTCAATATCCGCGCGGCTCCCACCTTGGACCAGGGGCACTTGTGGCAACACCCGATCATCCTGCTGCTTGAGGGCCCTCCGTGGGGCTCGCTGCCAGGCGCTGGCGTCTGCCTCTTCTGCCTCGCCGGCACGGCGCTGACCTTTGGGGTGCTACACCTGTGGGCCAGGCGGGCGATGAAGAGGAATCGGTATCGGCCAGACTTTGAGTCGGTTTGGGTTCTGAGGTGGCTCAGCATTGGTTCCAGCGACCAGGAAGGGGGAGGCATGTTCGAGACGCTGGGTTCGAGGATGTGTTTTAACCTTTTCGGCCTGGCTTTTTTTGGCCACAGGGCTGTGGAAAACAGAACATGCACCAGGCGGATCCCTGGAGGGGTCCAGAACCGATTTGGCCTCATCCCCTCTCCTGACCGATTACGGTCGGACCGAGGTATAAGGTCGAGGTCGGTTCGGGGAGGGTACCCCAATGTTCGTCGGGTTCTTTGGATGTTCTTGTGCATCCTGGGGGAGGGCACCCTGGAGTGATCCTTATGGCTTGGGGTGTTTGGGCTGGCGGAGGGTCTCATGTTCTTGAAGGATGTTCCGTCCTAGGCCCGACTGTTTCTGGAGCCCCTGCTCCCCTTCTCCTCCCCCTTCTCTGCGTAGTTCAAGCTCTGCGCGGCCCGCTTTGCTTCGACCGGAAGAGGTGCGCTCTCGACCCGCGAATTAAACAACATTTCTTTCTGGAGCCCCAACCGGTTCAGACCCCCTGGCCGCCTCCAAAGCCAGGCGCCTTTTCTATACTTTGGGTGCCTCGGCCCCCGCGGGGGCGGAGCGCGCGCTCCGACACATCTGCCGGCACATGCTGCGTGGCACACGCTCTCTGGCCATGCCGCCTGGGCAACGATACTCTCGAAGTGTGAGTTTGGCGTGTCCCTCTACAGGAGGAATAATCAAAAATAGAGTAAACAATAGTCAGGGCACGATTTTGTTGGATGTCTGACCAAATTTGCGCATGGTTTGGCTATTTTTTATGTTTCGCCCAAAGCCCCCCTGTAGGGGGACAGGCCCGACTTGACTCTAAGCGAGCGTTGTTTCCCCCCCTCTTCAGGGTAACGCTCGATACCCGAGCCAAACCACCCCCAGCCCCCCGGGTAACGTAAAACAGGGCTAGGATCGGGATAAATCGCTCCAGAGAGTTCCGGAGCGCTCTCAGAGCGTTCCGGAACGCTCTGGAGCGGCCGCGGCGCCCAATACATCCTCCAATCCAGCCGACTCTCAGAGATTTCGAGTTATCCCGATCCGATTTTGTCCCGATCTTCGCGTCGTTTTATAACGCTGACGATCGTACTTGGGGGAGCTGGCCTAGACCTCCCCTACACGCTGTGGTGGACAGTCGCGATTGATGCGCTGGTGGCGGGGACGCACCCCGGCGGGTGCGCGCCGCGGCCGCCGTGACCCTTACCCTCCCGCCCGAACCGACGCCCCCCTCCCCGGGTAACGACCGTAACCCGGGAAAGAAAAAAAATCGGTTATTCTTCGGGCCAGGAGAGCTATGCACATATACCAACCTTGACAGCGTCCATCCTTGACCCAGGATCGGTGCATATGCCTTCCTGGCCAAGGTAGGAGGGCGTATGCACCGATCCTGGGCGCAGGATGGGCCTGGCCAGAATCGGTGTATGTGCATAGTTTCTGTTCCTCTAACTCTGATGTTCGTATTGCGTGTTCGGGTGGGACACGCGTTTTTTTTGTTCAGCAGAAGCGCACCGTTGCCGACGGTGCGCCCCAGCGGGCCAGGGGCCGGCCACGCGGTGGCCACTGGTGCGCGCAGGCTGCCCGCACGAGGTCGCGCGCGAGCGCCCCTTCTTCCCACGCGGTCTGGCGGCCCGCGTGAGCCATCGCGGAGGGTCCCAGATCTCTGTCGATACGTATGACTCCTCCTCCTCCACCTCCTCCTCCTCCTCCTCCTCCTCCTCCTCCTCCTCCCTCCTCCTCCTCCTCCTCCTCCTCCCCCTCCTCCTCCTCCTCCTCCTCCTCCTCCTCCTCCTGTGTCAGCCTCGGCGCTCTTCCTCTCGAGTTCGGCTTCTGGGGCCCGCTTCTGATCTGGGGCGGCAAGCGCGGGGCCGGGGGCTGGGCCTCTTTTGGGGCCACGCACTCTAACGAAGATCATGCTCGGAGGATTGGGGTATCTCTGTGTCCTGCCGGCCCCCTCTTTGAGCGGTTCCCCCTCGCCGCTCAGGTGGCAGAGGCCCAGGTTCGACAGGGTCAGCGAGCTCAGCAGGGCGGTGTCCGCGAAGAGGCGGCCGGTGACCCTGGAGCTGCTGGCGCAGCTGGTGGCCATGTCCGTCGCCAACGGCGTCGCGGAGGAGGCCATCTTCCGCGGGCTCTTCTTGAGGAACGCACAGCGGCAGAAGCACAGATTTTCAGAGCTCTGCGAGGCTTCCTTTCATCTGCGCTGCGCCTCCGGCGCCGCCCCCCGCCCAGGAGGGGGGCCCAGGAAGTCTGCGCGGCGCGCCGATCTTTCGCCTGCTAAGGGGGGGTCTCTCAGGAAATGGTGAGCTCAATTCCTTGGATGCTCCTTTTTTCGGGGCCTTCTGATCCTCAAGACTGTGTTTGCTTTCTTTTGTTTTGGGCAGCATCTGTCACAGAAGATCTGTTTTCCGCAGTTTGCCCTTCGCTGACCCTGACCCCCAGGAGCCTGATTCCCTCTAGCAGACGGATGATCCGAAAGTGCATGTACATGCAGTTGTTGTTCCTCGATCTTCCTGCCGCGCCTGTCCGCCCACGCGGGGGCCGCCGGCGGCCTTGGCCCCGTCGGGGCGAACCTATTGCAGGCGCTGGTCTTCGGGCTCTTCCACTGGCACGGCATCCCCTCGGGCCCGGCTGGAGTGGCCCTCACCTTCGTGTATGTCGGCGGCGTGGAAAAAGAGTCGAGCATTTTCCTTGGGTGGAGGGCAGAGGGTGAAGTCTGAAGTGCCGTTTCGATGGATGTTCGAGGCTTGAACCTGCAAAAGGTGAATCACAAGACGGATTGACTTCCCGAGGTGCAAGAGCCCATATGGATTCCACCCTGAGCCCTCCACCCTGAGAAAATGCTCAGAAGAGGCGAGGTGCGAGGGGGGGGCTGCTGAAGTCCGAGGAGCAAGAGGCCACGACAACGGTACGCTCCGAGGCATCCCGTCGGCTTGCTCCTCGCGTCCGGGGAGAGGGCCCAAGCACCGGTCCGAGAAATCCGAATGCCTATGCTTGTGCGGCGTCACGGCGCCAGAGCGTCTCGGTCACCCCAGGACGAGGAGGAGGAGGAGGAGGAGGAGGAGGAGGACGAGGAGGACGAGGAGGAGGAGGAGGAGGAGGAGGAGGTGGAGGACGAGGAGGAGGAGGAGGAGGACGAGGAGGAGGAAGACGAGAAGGACGAGGACGAGGAGGAGGAGGAGGAGGACCCCTTCCCCCCTTGCCCTGCCCGCCCTGTTCTGCGCGCCGCCGAGCGTGGCTGCGTGGTGGGCTGGCTGTTCCAGGTATGCGGCGGTCTGCTCACGCCCGTGATCGCCCACTCCGCGGCGGACTTCTTCATCTTCGCCGTGGTCGTGCGCCGCGGCGAGTGAGGCTTTGTCCTTCTCCTGCTTCTGGTGGCGCTGGGCCGTCCTCCTTCTCACCCCATCTTCCGAGAACGCACAACGGCATGAGTACATATCTTCTGAGGCCCGCAGGCTCATGGTTATGCTTGCGGCTCTTCTCCGAAGTACATCTCCCCTCCTCCCCCCTCCTGCTTCCGCTTGTCCCCGATCCTCTCCTTCTTCCCGTCCTCCTTCCCCTTCTCGTCTATGTCTCCCCCTTCCCCCATCCTTCTTCTCGTCCTCCGCTTCCTCCGCCCCCTCCTCCCTCCTTCCCTTCAGGTCTCAGGTCCTCTTCCGGCTCCCCCTCCCCCTCCCTCTCCACCCCTTGCTGGAGTCTCTTTAGGAGTTTCAGGTCCGCTGTGACACGCGTCCGCGTCCCCGTCTCGTCCTCCACTTTCTCCTCTCCTCCTCCCCCCTCTCCCCCACTCTCCTGGGGTCTCTTTTGGAGTTCCGGGTCCGCGTCCGCAGATGGCGAACAACGTCAGCGTCGTGAGAATGGCTGGGAGGGAGGGGTAGGATGTAGGATGTCAGGTTTTGCGCGGGTGTACCCGGCTTGCCCTCCCTGTCTCTCTCTCTCTCTCTCCTCCCCCTCCTGCTCGTCCTCTCCTGCTCCTCTTCTCCGCCTCTCCCCCTCCCGCGCCGCCCGGTCGTGCTCCCTCTCCCCCCTTGCCCCCGCCCCCCAGGCCTCCCACCTGCCCCCTCCTCCTCCTCCTCCTCCTCCTCCTCCTCCTCCTCCTCGACCTCCTCCTAGACCTCCTTCTTCTCGACCTCCACCTCGACCTCCTCCTCCTCGGCCTCCTTCTCGACCTCCTCCTCCTCCTCCTCCTCCTCCTCCTCCTCCTCCTCCTCCTCCCTCCCCTCTGCCTCCTCCTCCTCCTCGACGTCATTCCGCCCTCTGCTCCCCCCTCCTCCGCCCTCTCCATCCCCTTGCTTGGAGCGCTCCCGCAGCGGCCACATCAGAAAAGTTGCCTTCAGAAATTTTGAGACGGCCCCCGATCGGAGGGAGGAGAAGCAACTCCAACACCACCAGGGGGGGCACCTCCAGCCAGGAGGTCCACGATGCCTCCCCGAGCTGGAGGCTGGGGATGTCTCGAGCGAGAGGGGGGGACCACACCACCAGGGAGACTCCCCCTTGCTCCTCGCATCTCTTCGCCCTTGTGGTGTCGTTGTCGCCTTTCCTTGTTTTTGCACGAGAGCCCGACTCGTGAGTTTTTTTTTATCCGGCGTTTCGACATTGGGAGGAAGGGTGAGGGGGGAGGGGGGGGTCTGGCTCCGGACATTTGCCTTATGCGACTGTTTGGAACCGTGCGTCCTATGGGGGAGCCTCCACCTGCTCGAAGCAGGCGCCAAAAACAGCCAAGATCTACTCCACGGGGGGGAGTCGAGGCGAGGGGGGGGTGCGAGGGCCCTCGCCGATCGGCAAAAACGATAAATAAAAAACGATCACCTAGCTCGAGGTGGGTTTAACGTGGCACCGAAAGGCTTCGAATGCAACCAAATGGGACCCATCTATAGCCATAGCCGCGATGGGTGGGGGTGGGCTCCAATACTTCGAGGCCACGTCTGCTCCTTCGTCCCCATCTCCCCCATCGTCCCCACGTCCTCCCCTCTTCTTGCCTCGCCTCCTCCCCTTCTCACTCCATCTCCTCGTCTTCTTCCCTCTTCTTTTCCCCCCTCCGCTTCCCTCCCCTTCCCTCCTTTTCCTCCGTCGTTCTCTGTCCTTCCTCCTCCTGCTCCTCCTCCTCCTCCTCCTCACCGTCCTCCCGCTTCCATGTCTGCTCGCTTCCTGTCGGCCCGGAGCCGTCGGCGACTCTGTCGAGGGCTGGCGGCGACCTCTCCCCCCCGACCCATCCTCCTGTCACGCACACGTCACCTGCCTGCCTCGTTCGATCCTTGAAGCCTCGATCCTCGAAGCCCCAATCTTGACTGCGACCTCCTCCTCCTCCTCCTCCTCCTGCTCCTCCTGCTCCTGCTCCTCCTCCTCCTGCTCCTCCTCCTCCTCCTCTTCCTGACAAGGGCGACGGCAGCGGTGGCCCCAGAAGGCCTGAGGGTGGTATCCCGGAGGTGCCCTGCAGAGGTCCGGGGAGGCCTCCATGGCCCCAGGTCTGCTTGTGGGCGCCGTGGCTGTCATGGAGATGGAGATTTTTTTGCGATCGTCCTCTCCTCAACGTCCTCCTCCTCTTCGTCCTCCTCCTCGTCGTCCTCCTCCTCCTCGCTCTCATCCTCCTCCTCCTCCTCCTCCTCCTCCTCCTCCTCCTCATCCCCCTCCTCCTCCTCCACCTCCTCTCCAAGCGTCAAAAGATCACGTGTTTTCGTTAACCGTGTCCCCCCCCCCCTCCCGCCGGACTTTTGTGCGCAGTCGTCGTCTTAATTACACCATACGGTCGGAAATGTTGGAACAGCGTGTCGCTCCATTGGTTTTGGCCCACCACGCCTTTGTCCCCGAACGTCAACGTCCCGAGCGTTTCTCGACCTCCCGCCCCGCGGAGCGGAGCGACACGCTGTCCGCTGTCTAGGCATAGCGTGACGCCGGGGCCGCCGCCGCAACACGCTAAGCGACAGTTCTCGACCGCAGCCCTCACGACCTCGATCCTCGATCCGAAAGGTTCTACCCTCGAAGCCTCGGCCACCGATCCTCAACCTCCGACCCTCAAGGGCGCCTTTGAGGGCGCGAAGCTATCGCGCTTCGTGGATTGGCTCCGATTCCTCCTCGTCCTCCTCTTCTCCCCTGGAGGGGCGGCGCGATACGCGAGAGCGCGAAGTTGTTCACGCTTCGCGCAGCGCGAAGCGCGAAGTTGGGCGCCCTTGGAAGCCTGGGCGGCGACCCTCCACGGATGCCGGTCGAGGCCGCCGCGCCATGGCGGGCGAGGCCGGGACGCGCCCAGCAGCCACGAAGCCTCCGGCCCGCTCCGGAGTAGGGGAGGGGCATATATATATATATATATATATATATATATATCGGTGGCGGATAGACCTCCTACCCTGCCACGTCGATTAAAGAATTGGCCGTTTTCGGTTCGCGAGTGGGCGTCGCGGCCGTCATTTCTGCGGGTCCAGGTCCGTCGGTTTCGGTCCCAGGCCGTTTTCACTAAAGGACTAAATGGGTGGCTTGCTAGAGGGAGTTTTGCCCACCGCAGATCTATGGAGGCAGGCGGGCGGCGCCACCGGAGGAGGGAGGAGGTGCTGCCTGAGGAGGGGGGGGGGGCAGAGGAGCCTGCGGCCCGCTCCGGAGGAGGGGAGGGGCAGAGAGAGAGAGAGATCTACATATATACACACATATTTATATATATATATATAGAGAGAGAGAGAGAGAGCGAGAGAGAGAGACAGAGAGAGACAGAGAGAGAGACAGAGAGAGACAGAGAGAGAGAGAGAGGCAAACGGGCGGCCTCTCCAGAGGAGGGAGGAGGCGCTGCCTGGGGCTCAGGGGCAGGGGTGCCCGCGCCCGCGAGCCCGCCGCCCACGCCCGCCCGCGAGCAGGCCGCCGGCCCGCGGCGGCGGGCGGCAGACGCGACGGCTGCCGGGCGTGGCAGCCGTCGGTCGGCCGTCGGGCGGCCGCGGGCGGCCGCGTGGGCCGCGGGCCGTGGCTCGGCCGTGGGCCTGCTCGCCTCGGGTTCCACGGGGGATAGGCATAGGGGGTTGAGTCGGGCCTGTTCCTCTGCGGGAGGGACCTTCCAACATGGGAAAAACAAAGTCGACGATTGAACTATATATATATATAATCGATTCGGACTTGCTTGCTCGCCGCCAGCAAGGCCCTGCCCGACGCAAAGATGGCCGAGCTGGGCGCCATCGGGGTCCCCAGGGCCCTCCGTCGCTACTGACTCGATTGGAAATGTGAGGAGGAGGAGGAGGAGGAGGAGGAGGAGGAGGAGGTGGAGGCGGAGGAGGATAAGGAGGAGGAGGAGGAGGAGGAGGAATAGAGGAGCAGGAAGAAGAGGAGGAGGAGGAAGAAAATGATCAGGAAGAAAAGGAGGGGACGCACCCGCGGCGCCGATCCTCGACCGCGCCCAGGTCACCGTTGCCGCTGCCATCTTCCTACGCTGCGCCTCTGCCGATGCCTGCCGCGAGAAGGAGGATGTTCTGAGGACCGAGGACCGAGGCTTTGGTTGCTTCCTGGCCCTCCCCGGGCCTCCCCGTCGCCGCCACGGCCGGATTCACCCCGGGAGGGGTCCGGGGAGCGAGTCGCAAGCCTGGGTCGAGGAGGGACGGCCGCAAGCCGAGGCGGGCGCAAGTTGCCTCTGCGACAGCCCGCTGCGCCCGCGCTCGGGGCTCGGGAGGGGCAGCTCGGGCCAGCAGCCTCGCCACCCTCCCCGTCCCCCCCCGGAGGAGGGCAGGGGCGAGGCGGACGGCGGCGAAGTAGACGCGGGCCTCCGGCGAAAGCCAGGCCAGCGCCAGAACGAGGAGGAGGAGGAGGAGGAGGCAGAGGGAGAGGGACGACGCGGACGAGGAGGACGATCACGACGAGCACGGCAGCCAAACGTCGACGAGGATGCTCACGCCGACGAGGACGAGCGTCGAGGAGCAGTGCCGCGCTGGCGACGGCTGGCGACGACCGCGACGACGGCGAGGACCACGGCGACAACGGTCACGGTCGGCGGCCCGTGGCGGCCCGTCGCCGTGGCGGCGGCCGCTGGCCCCCCCCCCCCCGAGGAGCCCATGCCCTCGCCCGCGAGCCCTCCGCCCACGCCCGCCAGCGAGCAGGCCGCCTGCCGCCAACCGCCGGCGGCCGCTGGCCGCGTGGGCCGTGGGCCGTGGCTCGGCCGTCGGCCTGCTCGCCTGGGGGGGGGCAACGAGGAGGGGGGGGATGGGCGTAGGGGCGGACGCATCGGCCATAGGGGCCCGATAGCCCCAACCTGCCCAGGGACGCGCGGAGTCAGTACCGGGGGCCCATCGCCGACCGATCGGCGATGCATCGCCGATTCCATGTCGGTGTTTCCTCCACTGTGCCTGTCCCCCCCTATCGTTGCCCCTCATCGCCAGAGCTCCGACGGGGTGGTCGTGTGGATCTGGGCGGTTCTGTCCTCGATGTCAGCTTGGGGCCCGCCATCGTACAGTCAAGACGCTGAAATAAGGATCGCTTGGGGTTCGAGAGGGGCCCAGTGTTCCTTGGGTCATCCCATGGTTGCTCCTCTAGCCCTCCTCGTTTGAATGTAGGGCTACGGAAATACTCATATCTATGTATATACGTAGATGTATCAAGCTATAGATGCACATACGTGCATACAAACATCAATCTATTCATTCGTACACACATATTTGCATATATATACACACATATATATAGACATGCGTGTATGTATCCATACATGCATCTATCTACACATACAGACATTCACACGCATCTACATATACATAAAGAGGCACACATGCACACATACATACATACATACATACATGCATGCGTATACCGATCTGACGTACTACATGCCTCCATGTATCCGCACGCACATGCATACAGTCAATATGCATACACACACATACATACATACATACATACATACATACGTACGTACGTACATACATACATACATAAACACATACACACATATATATGCACACGCATACGCAACTAGACCCATTACTTGGAGTACAATACACTTAGACACACAGCGCTACACTACACTACACCTTACACGACATTAAATGTCATAGCCTTACACCGCCTTATGAAATATACATTCGTTGTTATATATATATATTACTATAAACATACGCATACATGCATACACCCATACATACAACAATATGCATATATATATAGATGAATATAAAGATGTGCAACCATGCACACACCCATACACATATACATCCTCACACACGCATACACGTCGACATACATACATAAACGCACACAAGCACAGGCGTATCTATACATGTAGTCATGTATGCATGCATGTATACATGCACGCATGCATCCATACATACATTTTCATATGCATATATACTTACACACATACATACATACATATCTGCATGGCGGTATATATACACCTACACATATACATATACGTCTACGCAAACATCGACACACACATAAATTGTATATATGCATGTGCATGCACATGTGCATGTACACATCTATATATATATATGTATATGTGTACCTGTACATTTACATGTACGTATACATACATATATATATATACACATGTATGTATACAATTACCTATACATATACATAGACATCTACACATACATCTACATATACATATACCTAGACATGCATGCATACATATACAATTATACATCGACATATTCATGTACATCAATATATTCGTGTACACTGTGAACAAATACGCCCCCCCCTAGGGCGCTGCCCACCTCTAGAACATCCGCCGCACATCCCTGGCGGTGCCCTCCTCCCAGGCCTCCAGGAGGGCCCCCAGAGGCCCTGCAGACGGCCCAGGACTTCCCAACGACAGCCCAAAGAGTTGATCCACGACTGTCCAAGACGACCCCCCGACAGCCCTGCACGCCCCCGGGAGCGCCCAGGACCGCCCCAAGAGGCCTCCAAGATGCCCCCAAGAGCCCCGGGGAAGCCCTCAAGAGGCCAAGTTCACAGAAGAACTCAAGGAAAGTAATTGATTTTGGGGTTCTCGCATTCTCGCCTCCGAAACGCTTCCAAGGCTTGCGCGTGCCTCCCAAGAGTGCCCCCAGATGCCCCAATGAGGCGACCCGAGTTGCCGCAAGAGGCCCTAGGAGACCAACAGAGGCTCCCATGATGCCCGAAGATGAACCACCGAGGCTCCAAAGACGCTCCGAAAAGGCTCCGAAGAGCCCCCAGGACCCGCCCAGTTGGCCCCCACAGGATCCCCAAACTCCAAAGAGGGCCCAAGGGGCCCCCGAGAGCCCCCTCGAGGCCCCCAAGAGGCTCCCGAGAGGCCTTTCAGAGGCCCCAGCAGACGCACCCGAGATGCTTCAGGAAGGCCTCGAAGGCACCCCGAAGACGCCCTCGGGACACTGCGCCGCTCCCTTCTCCCTGATCCCGCTCGCCTCCTCCCTCTTCATCGCTGCGTCCTTGTCCCCCTCCCCCCTCCCCCTCGAATCCTCATCTCGCCGTCACCTCTTCCTCCCTCCGTCTCCCTCGCCCAGCGCCCTGCCTCACGCAGGTGTAGGAAGCCCAGCTGGGGACAAACAAGTCGGATCTTTGTTTTTCAAGTTCGACCCCCCCCGCCGTGCCATCCTGTCCCAGGCGCTGGCGTGCCCCAGAGTGCGTTTCCGTCTCCCCAATCCCCCGCTTTCCGTTCTACCTGATCTCGCTCCTGGTCTTGGTTCTCTTCCGTCTCCCGTGCCACATCCTTCTCATCCTTCTCTTCCTCCATTAAACCCGATGCGCCCTTTCCCCCCATCCCTCCTCCTCGTGTCTCCTTCGCTCCTTTTTCTCTCCGCCTCCTGCCCCAAGCATCCTGCCTCACTAACTTCACCAACTGCGAACGTATCCCTACCCATAAGCTTGACACGCCAGAGGTCGATGGTAATATTCAGGATGCGCCCTCAGAAACTGAGGGAATCCCTGAGGTCGGCATCGTGATGAGGCGGTGCCCAGCATAGGGATAGGGAGATGTTCCAGGCTGGTAATAAACGGTCGGGTGCCCAGCCTGAAAAACTGAGATTCCCTCAAATCCATTTTTGTTTCAAGTTCGACCCCCCATGTCCACTCGCCACCGTCGTCAACGTCGGTAGCGGTGTCGCCACCCGCGGCAGCCATTTTGGTTGAGGATCCACACCCTGGCATGCTTTAAGGCGCCTTTTTCGAAAGGGGGGAGGCCGGATTATTGGGCCGGGTTCGCGTGACTGAAGCAAAGGGGGAGGCGGATTATTGAGGCGCCTTTAGGATGACCATTTTGTATGGATCTGCATTGCGCGCCCCATTGTTCATCGCGACGGTGGCGGCTATGATTGCGAACGTGACGGCGATGTTTATTGTGGAGGTGATTGCGAGACGATTTTAATTGTTAATTATGTTGGTGGCGGTAACCATGAATATGATAATGCTGGTGATGATGGTGATGTTGATGATGCTGATTATGATGATGATGCTGATGATGATGGTGATGCTGATGCTGCTGCTGCTGATGATGATGCTGCTGATGATGATGATGACGATGGTGCGTTCCATCAGATGTGCCCTTCATATTTTCCGAGTCCTGGCGCATACTTATGTCTTGTGCCGCGTCCCTCATTGGTCCTTGAAGCCCGCTTTCAAAGCTGCCTTCTTCCTAGTGCGGACGGTGTTCCCGATGGGGCTCGTCCACAATTTCCACCTTTTGCCCGCTTTGGCGTCCCTTGGCCCACACCACCATTACCATCATTATCATCACCGTCACGTTTTCACTCACGATCATCACCGCCGTGCCCACCTCCGTTGCCATTTTGGCTCAAGCACAGCGCTGCACAGGTTCCGAGGGGCCGTCGCCGGCCTCCCAGGGCTCCCTTCGGCCGTCTCTCGTTCAGGACCCCTCAGCTCTGTACATCTGCAGACGGCATGATGCGCCTACGCACGTCTCACAGCGACGCGCTGCTCCTGCTGCTGGCATCGCGCGGCGCCCCGAGCGCCGGGTCGCCGGCGAGCGGGACGTTGGCCCGCCCGAGGCTTGAGGGCTCGGCGAGCGGTCGCCCTCGCGAGCCGCAGGCCGAGCTCGGCAGGATCCAGGCCACGGCGCGCAGTTGCTCAAGCTCTTGGCGAGTGATGGGGCCTTCAGCGACTTGTTCGGTTACACGGTGGCCGTGAGCTCCGACGGAGCCCGCGTGGTGGTGGGGGTTTTAACTTACGGTGACGGTTCCGGCTCCGCGTACGTGCTCGACGGGGCCATTGGCGAGAGGCTTCTCAAGTTCGTGGCGATTGATGGGGCCGCCTTCGACGGCTTCGGTGAATCGATGGCCGTGAGCTCCGACGGGGCCCGCGTGGTGGTGGGGGCCTACTTTGACGACGACCAGGGCGACGGTTCTGGCTCCGCGTAGGTGCTCGACGGGGCCACCGGCGAGAGGCTGCTCGAGCTTGTGGCGAGTGATGGGGCCGCCTTCGACAGCTTCGGTTACTCGGTGGCCGTAGCTCCGACGGGGCCCGCGTGGTGGTGGGGGCTTACTTTGACGACGACCAGGGCGATGGTTCCGGCTCCGCGTGCGTGTTCGACGGGGCCACCGGCGAGAGGCTGCTCGAGCTTGTGGCGAGTGATGGGGCCGCCTTCGACAGCTTCGGTTACTCGGTGGCCGTGAGCTCCGACGGGGACCGCGTGGTGGCGGGGGCCTACCTTGACGACGACCAGGGCGGCAATTCCTGCTCCGCGTACGTGTTCGACGGCACAACCGTCACCACCGAGACGGCCACGACAACCACCGAGACAACGGCCACGACGACCACCGATACAGGCACAAGTTCGGCCACGTCAAGCACAACAGCCACCACCGAGCCATCGGCGGAGGAGCAGCAAGATTCTTGGGGATCAATTGCAGTCTTCGCTGGTTTCTCGATCTTCCTCTTGGTTTTCTGCGTCGCGCTCGGCTGCCTGATGAGGCGCGGAGGTCCTGGCCGTGGCAAGGGCCCAACACACGAGCGCGCCACGCTCGACGTGGAGGTTGAGGCCAACGTGGCGGAGCAGGGCGCGGAGGTTGAGGCCAACACGTCAGAACAGGACGCGGAGATTGATGAGCACGAGTGTTTCAATGGATGTTCCGCTGGTGCGGCCCTCCTCCGTCTCCCATCAGCCCTCCTGCAGTGTATGTTATGTTATGTCTTTTATCACTTCTTTTTGTGCCCTCCTTCGCGCACCATCCATTACGCAGCATCTTCCCGTGTCTGTGCCCCGTTGATGGCGTGATCGTGGGGGGTGACGTGGGGGGAGGAGGATCTTGGGAGTCCTTTTCGAGGCTCGAAGCTTCGAGCCAGTTTCGGGATCTGATTTGAAAGTTTGAACGCTGCGAGCCGCAGGTTTGCTGTGGCGCAGCTGCGCTGTTGTCAGGCCCATTTCCTGGACTGGCTGGTTTATTGTTTGACTCGGTGCCTGCTGTTCCTCATCGTTTGCCCCTAGTTCTTGCCCCTGCCCCGTTTCCTCTCTGCCCCCTCCTCATCCTCTTCATCTTCTTCATTATACCAATGCCATGCCCGCCAGCATGCAACGCGCATTTACGTTGCGAAGTGGATCAGGGCATCGGGGGCAAAGCGTGATAAGTTATCTCCCGAGCTATTTAGAGAAAAAGGGAGCACCAAGACGGCCGTAGATGCCCCCCAAGAGTCTCCACAACTCTGCAAACTCTCTCCTCTCTTCTTCTCGCGGTACTGTGCCTCCGCTGCTTTCTCATCATCGCCATTTGCTGTAACGAGTTGGCGCGAAGCTTTGCTGCACAAGCTGTGAGGGCAGAGCGGCATGCACCCGCAAGTAGCATGGGGCATCGTTCCTGCTCGCACTGCAGCCGTTGCTTGCTGCACATTGCGTCTCCATGCTGCGAGGCGCGTAGCTTTGCAGAAATATGAGGTGACAGTGGGATACACCCACATATAGCAGAGGGGCCCATTGCCGTTCGCACCGCAGACTTTGCCTGCTGCATTGTGCTCCAACTCAAAACAAGATCCTACCTCCCACGACGTCGCCAGCGTTGCATGTTTCTGCTTACGGTTTACGGATCTTTGAAACAAGGGCTCGCCAGAGGGAGACAAGACTTTGTTGTCCTTTAGCGGCGCGGGCTCAATGAGCCGACAGCCGTCAATGCTGAGAGCACGACGCAGGCCTCTCATTGCACACCTTTACCGAGCGTGCGCAGTTGCTGGACTCCATGTTGGCCGCCGCGATTATAGAATAATGTTTGCATGGTGCCCTGCCAACGAGCAGGTCGAGGCCCGTGGGATGGAAAACAAACACATTACTGCCATGCCCGCCAACATAAGTCGAAGTCTAAATTTTTCCAGGGGGGGCTGGAATATTGATGTGCCTCCTTTGGAGGGGGGGCCGGTTTATCAAGCAACCTCAGCAGGGGGCGGCCAGATCTTTGGGGTGGAGCGTCTATTGAGGCACATGGAGTTTTTCTCTTGCCCGCGATCTCCTCAGAGCCGGGGATGCCTTTCGAACGCCCGCTGCAGTTCCTCATCCGCGAGGGCTCGCACCGGGACGCGTTCCTCAAGGCCGCGGCGTGCGCTGGCAGCGCCCGCGGCAACGGCGGCATCGACGGCGGTGAGCTGAGGACGACCACGTCGGGAACTGACGAACGAACATCACACACCCACTCCCATAGGAGGGTCGCAGGGAGGAGGACTGGCTATGGGTACGGGTGCGGATTGTCGGACCCTAGGGGAGGCTCCCGTTCGAACGGGGATCCCCATCCGACAACACGCATCCATGGCCCCCTTCCATCCCCGCCAGGTATGTGTGCGTGTTGTTCTCTCGTCGTGAGCAGCTTCGGCCCCGAAGGCCGCCGCTGTTCACGACCGCTGCGGTCCTCGCAGGATGGGAGGGGCAAACACTGCACAAGCACAACCTTCAGGGAGGAGAGAACACACACAGAGAAACAGAGCATCGCCGATGCACGTGTGTCTGTGTGGGTTCATTTACTTGTGACATGGGAGTCCTGAGAGTTGTGTCTATTTGTCTGTGTGCCCCCTGGGGCCATGCAAGACTTCGTGAGGCCCGCGCGGGCCCCATGGGGTCGGCGCCGCCCCCCTGGCGCGCCCTCCCCCCTCCCCCCCTTGGCGCTTTCTCCGCGCGCCTGGGAGGGGTGTCCAGCGCCACCCCCGGCCGACGTGTCGTGGGGACGGGTAGAATTGGGCAATCTATATATATTTATATATACACATATATACACACATTTTACATGCACACATATAGATATGTACACATATATATATATATAGATATATACATACATACATATATACATAGATGTCGGCGGCGCGCGAGGGGGGAAGTGAGAAGGGGCGGGCCTTCTCAGAAGTCTCGGACATCCCCCGGGGCCTCGGAGAGGTTTTCAGCGCCTGCCCCGAAGACAGAACGAGCATCTCAGAAGGCGCGAGAGCGTCCGCCTCCTTCTCCTTCTCACTTCCCCCCCGCGCTCGCCGCCGAAAATGGAAGAATACATATATATATATATATATGTATATATGTATACATATATAGATATGTGAATTACCTTTTTTGGGCAGCGGAGCCGGGAAAGTGTCCTAACATGTCTCGCAATGGGGTTGCATTGAAAAGCCGATCCCCTTCTCCGGAGCCCAGATTTGCCGGGAACGGGTGTGGAACTCTATCTCGACCCTTTTTATGACATTGGCGCGGACATCCGACCGCTAATGTTCAGGTCAGATTCCGCTCACAGTGAGAAGCCCTCAAGCCTTTAAAGAGTCCGTTGTGGAAGCCTCCGAGCTTCAGTATCGTTCAACCGACCCCTATCCCCATCCACATCCATATCCCCATCCAGACCCCCGCCATCTCAGCACCCCGGTTGGGGATGTACCTTTTCGCATCCCGAAGGAAATTGCCCATATCCCCATTTGAAATCGACCAGTGAGGCCCAGGCCACGTTCATAGGGCTGCAGTCAACCCGCATATTTAGGATGAGCCACTTCCCGAGGTCATCCTTGCATCCGTCCCCTTCGGCCCATCCTTGGCCACTCTCGCCAGCCGCACCCGCTCGCAAAGTGTCGGCATGGCCTTCCAAGGCCCTTACATCCTTCTCGTGCATTCTTACTTTGCTGGTTGATCCCAGACCCCCGACGTCATGATTTTTCCATGACTTCGACCCCCAGAGGTCTCGACCCATGCCCTGGGACTGTTTTTTCATCTTCAGTCGTTTTTTGAGGGTCCCGCGGGCCGGCAAGGGCCCCCAGGGGCCGAAATAGCGAAACATTGCCCGTCGTGATTTTGTCGTGACCCCAGGGGGTCTGGGATTGCAGGGGGTCGGTGCAGCGGTGCTCAGAGCCCTTCGGGGAGGCGTCCGCGGCGTTCTGCGCCCCCGGGCCGGGCCTCCTCCCGCGCGGGGGGCCCGCTGCGAGGAGCCTCAGTCGGGATGGGCTCGTGGAGGACGATCAGTGGAGAGTGAGCATGTTGCCAAATGATTTTCTGATGTCCAAAACATGTGTCAAACATGGTTTTAGCATGTAAGAACAAGCTTAAAACATGTTTGGAACATGTTTCCGACATTTTAAACACATTCAAAGCTCAATGATACGACTGTAGGGTGTCCATTGTCGTGGCATCCAAAAGGAGGGGCCCTCGCAGGGGTCCTGGGCTTGAGCCGGGCGGGAGAGCATCCGTGCGACGCAGGTGAGCGGCGCGCTGGGTCGGGTCAGCCGCGTGAGCAACAGAGAGGGAGAGAGAGAGAGAGGGAGCGAGGAACAGCCAAGAGAAGGCGAGCGTGATAAAGTGTGGAAAAGAGCGAGAGAGAGAGAGAAGGAGAGAAAGAGAGAGAGAGAGAGAGAGTGGCGGAGGAAGAGAGCATGGAACAGCAGAGAAGCGGGGCATGAACAGCAAGGAGAGAAGGTTCTTGAGCAGGAACGATGCCGAGGGGTAGCAAGGGGTAGGTGCAGACCGACAACGAGGAGACGCGGGAGACGCGGTAGAGGCACGAGCATGGGTTATGCGGGATGGGCCGGAGGGAGGCGGAGCAGTGCCAGAAGAGGGAGATTTGTTTGGAGGGTTTCTCCGAAAAGCTTAGGCGGCCCGTCCTCCTCTTCTCTCCTCCTCCTCCTCCTCCTCCTCCTCCTCCTCCTCCTCCTCCTCCTCCCCCTCCTCCTCCTCCTCCTCCTCCTCCTCCGTCTCCTCCTCCTCCTCTTCCTCCTCCCCCTCCTACTCCTCCTCCTCCCCGTCTCCTCCTCCGTCTCCGTCCTCCTCCTCCTCCTCCTCCTCCTCCTCCTCCTCCTCCTCCTCCTCCTCCCCCTCCACCTCCCTCCTCCTCCTCCTCCTCCTCATCCTCCTCCTCCTCCATCTCCTCCTCCTCCTCCTCCCTCCTCCGCCTCCTTCCCCTCTTCCTCCCCTCCTCGCTCCTCCCTCCTCTCCTCCTCCCTCCTCCTCCTCCTCCCGCCTCCTCCCTGCCCTCCTTCCTCCCCTCCTCCTCCTCCTCCTCCCCTCCTCCTCCTCCTCCTCCTCCTCCTCCTCCTCCCTTCCTGGCCTCCTCCTCCTCCTCCTCCTTCTCTCCTCCCGCTCCTCCTCTCCTCCTCCTCCTCCTCCTCCTCCTCCTCCTCCTCCTCCTGCCTCCGCCCCCAGTTCCTCCTCTCCTCCTCTCCTCCTCATCCTCCTCCATCCGCCACTCCTCCATCCTCCATCCTCCATCCTTCCTCCATCGCTCCCTCCCCCTCCTCCATCCTCCTCCTCCTCTCCTCCTCCGTTTCCTCCTCCTCCTCCTCCTCCTCCTCCTCCTCCTCCATCCTCCTCCTCCTCCTCCTCCTCCTCCTCCTCCCCCTCCCTCCCTCCTCCTCCTCCTCTCCTCCTCCTAACTCCGCCCCGCCTCTCCTCCTCCTCCTCCTCCTCACTCCTCCTCCCTCTCCTCCTCCTCCTCCTCCTCTCCCTCCTCCTCCTCCTCCTCCTCCTCCTCCTCCTCCTCCTCCTCCTCCTCCTCCTCCTCGCCTACGGCCCCGGGGGAAATCGTCCGGGAGGGGAAGCAGTGCCAGCAGAGAGAGAGGTTGGTTGTCGTCGAAGAAGGGGATGGCGAGGACGGACCTTCAGAGCTCCGAATCATCAGGGCTGGGAGTGGTCAGGGGCATCTACAGATTCGCGTCCCGGGGGCCCACACCGGAGTTACCCGGGACCGCAGTTATCCCGGAGTATTTGAGGTTAACCCTCCCGAATCATCAGGGCTTGGGTCGGTCAGGGGTAGCTACGGATTCGCGCCTCAGGGCCCACAATGGAGTTACCCTGGACCGCAGGTAGTCGGGATAATTCGGGCGCCCAAGATCTGGTGATGACACGAACGATGGTGATGGTAGCAACCTTGGATCGGCATCATCGCTGCGGCAACGCTGTGGTCGTCCCCGACCCATCCATGGGCATGCCCCATCTTCGAAGTCGCGTCTTTCGCAGGTGGCCACGATCGGGCGCTAGCCCATGGGCCCGGCCTGGCCTCGTCTCACGATGACAGGATGGGCCCAAGCTCATAGGCCCTTTTGCGCTGAGCCTCTGTGGGCTCCGCCCCACCACCTGGGCGCTCGAGGAAGCGCGCCCCTCACCCTCTGGGGCTTGCCGGAGCTGGGCACGGCCTTCCGTGGCGGGAGGTCGTCGGCGGAAGGCCGTGCCCAGGCTCCCGGCGCCGCCCTCGCGTCGCCTGGCCAGCTCTGGCCGCCTCGAGCGTCACAGGAGGAACAGGTGCCTACCGCTACCCTCTCGCCGCTTTCGCCTCTTTGTGCCTCCCCGGGAGGCCCTCGTCGCCACCGCTCTCGCCTTCTCGAGGAGGTCTCAGGATCTACCAGGCTCTGCGTGGATCTATTCCCATAAGTTGAGCCTCTGCCCTGATGTGTCCGGCCGGATGCCCCAACAGCCAAGTGGCCAAAAGCCGTTAGGCCCGCACAGGGAGAAGGGGCGGGGGCGGTCTTCTTGTAGCCTTCCCTTCCGCGAGCTCCAGCCAGGGAAGGAAGCAGGGCGCGCTTTCTTTTCTGTGTGTCTCTCTCTTTCTCTCTCTCTCTCTTGTTCTCTCTCTCTCTCGTTCTCTCTCTCTCTCTCTCTCTCTCTTTCTCTCTCTGAGCGT